GGGTCGTAGCCAAAGTTCCAGAAACATTGGATTAGACTGAATTAATGTTATGAAGTGCAAAGCACTATACTTGTATTGCTTGTATGAAAGATACTGATTAAGGTATTATTTTCACACTTAAAATAATAGATTTCTAGAAAAAATAATAATGTACTCTGAAGAACAAGTCTAAATCTTCAAGATTTTTCTTGAAAGTTTTTAAACCACACAAATAAAAAAAGTAGGAAATAATTATCTTGAAGATTATTATCTTACTTGTATTTTTGCTATTTATCTTTTAAGATTGGGCCTGGGAAGCTATGAATACAGAGTTGCCTCCTTTATCAAAAACAGTGAACACAGGGTATGTGGAAATGTATAAACCAGTGAATGAATGTCTGTTACTGGCTGATGTTATTATTTTGTGTATATGTTACATTTTTCAATTCGAAAACAAAATCTTAATATTTAATAAGATGTATTTCTTTGTAGGCAAATATCACATTCAATTTCTCGTCCCTTGAGAAGTCAGGATTCTACTTCTAAACCTATTCAGCCAGAAACTGAAAGAAACCAGAGTGGCTGGAGGTATGATTTTTTTTTTTAAGTTTCTACTTTATTCCTTCTTACCTTTCCTCTGCCCTCATCTCCTGCTCTTCTCAGAAGCTCCTCTTTCTTAAGAAGAAGTATATTTGGGAAAATTCTAAACTTAACTAGCTACAGCAGTATTACAAGCAATGCTTTATAAAAGAAGTTAAGAGACCATGTTACATAAACTTTAAAAATAGACATATTTAGCAGTGATTATGTTTCCAAAGAATTCTTCATTTTGCAAATATTTGTCACTATTAGTTTACTGTTTTGTTGATGGATCATTAATTTTCTCACTGTTAACAGAAGAGTATCGAGAATCAAATAGAATGCTCATTGTTACCCAGTCAGACAGTTGGGTCCAAGGTAAATGGGACAGACTGAAAAAGGAAGATGGAGGCTGACATGCAACTGCATCTGCGTGGTAGGGGCTTGACAAATGAAGAGGGCCGTCCAAAAGATCGTGTGGGTACTTTTGGGCCACGTCATAGGGATTTAAGCCTACGATTTAAAAATTGTGAAAAACAACTAGGCAGAAAAGGGACATGGATTATTTTTATGCTATTACTAGTTATTGATGTGGAGACTGTTGAAGGAAATAATTTTAGAAAGAATCTCACTCACATGTTTCATGTATCAATCATTATTAATATGTACAACAACCTTGTGAAGAAGTATTACCCCTATTTTAAAAAAGATACTGTATTTCATAAAAAGAAGGAAACTACTTTTTTTTAATACTTGTTGCCGTTAAGTTAAGTTTGATTCAGTGTGACTCTATAGGACAGTGTAAAACTGTCCCCATAGTTTCTAAGGCCGGGATCTTTATGGAAGCCAACGATCACATCCTTTTTGCCCTGAGTGATGGGTGGGTTTGAATTTTTGGTTAGTAAGCTGAGTCCTTTAACCATCAGGGATCCTACTTTTTAATATAGTGGTTAATAAGTATAATAAGTATAATGGAATCATATAATATTTGGAATTTATTTTTCAATATTCATGCTGTTTCCTCAGCATAGTCACTTTCTTCAGGATCAGGGCTTGAAGAGTCCTCTTCAGTGGTTTGGGATGATTCTTGCAGAGAATTCCAGCTGCAGATGTCAGGGTAAATTCATCTGGCAGGCATTGTAGATAATTAGGAAATGGATTGTCATCTGGATAGGCAACCTCTATTGTATATTCCAACTTGAACTAATAGAGGTTATCATTTATCAGAGAGTTGGTATACAACAGAAAATCCGAGGGCAGAAAACATCAGAGAAACAAGCAGGCAGTGATAATCTGAAAGTCTTTAATTGATTCTACGCTGCAGGTTCTGCTTCTGTTCTTTACCCTCCAATATCGAGCAGAAGCTGTGCAGAAGGCTTTGAGTGGCTTCTTCCTCCAAAGTGGAGAGCCCAATTTTCTGAGGTTCCCTTGCATGTGTCTGTATAGTTTAGGAGTTTTGAGTTAGCACAGAATTTACCCTTAATATAGTGGTGTGTCAGGGTCTCTCATTCACATTGTTTCCCTTAAAGGCATATTCTCTCGCAAGGGTCAAGGGAGAAAGTAGTAGCTTGAACAGAAAACAGGTCTAATTAAGTGCTGATATCTTCCACTATATTGAGCAGGGCCAGTGTGTGGCCAATGTGTGGCTAGCCCTACTCCCATATCCATCTAATCCTAGCATTTAGTCCGTTCCTGGGGAATCTCATTAAACATTTTGAACCCTATCTTTTCTGCCAAGCAGAAAGATTTTGCCCTGTTCAGGAGCCATTACAACTTAGACCTTATGACCTGTTAAGGTGTTCAGAACCTAGTCAGGCTGGATTGGCTGTTGAGGCAGCATCTGTGTTTGGAAGCACACCCACTGAGAACAGAGGGCTATAGTTCTCCCGCCACTTGTCCCCAGGTTAGAAGCCCCTTGTGAGCAAAAACTTTGGAGTGTGTTCAGATATGCTATTTCAGGAGCCCAGGTGGTATAGTGGTTATGGGTTGGGCTTCTCTCTGAAAGGTCAGCAGTTAGAAACAAATAGCTGCTCCAAGGGAGAAAGATGAGGCTTTCTACTCCCACAGAGAGTTGCAGTCCTAGAAACTCACAGAGGCAGTTCTACTCTGCCCTGTATAGTGTCACTATGAGCCGGCATTAACTTGATGGTAGTGAACTTTTCTTTTAGTTATTCCGAGTAAGGTGTGAAGCTGAAAGAAATTCCTTAAACTATGAATAATAATAACAAGTTATGTCAACTTTTTATTCCTGTTATTGAAAATAAAATTATAAATTGTTATCAGGTGAAGAGGTGAACAGTGTAAGGGAAAAAGCCTTACAGAGGTATATCAGACAATAAATAATACTACTAAATGTATTTTTTCTGACTATTGTAGTAGTGGTGTATTAGTCAGCTTTTATGAATGTATAATTAGTTGCCATTTTCTCAGTATTTTCATAACTAATTTTCTACGTAATTTTACCTAAATAGGCCTCCTCAGATTATGGGTCCCATAAAATCTTCTCCTGGTCACTAGTGAGCATTTATCCTAGATATTCCCAAATAAGATTCAGGTTGTATTAATTGTCATCTTGTGATACTTATAATATTTTCTGGACAATAATTTAGGATGAAGAATTCATGACTTCGATTAATTTTTCCTGGTGGAACACTTAACTAGGTAGCTTGTTAAATTCTATTTTTGGTCTTGGCCTTGGTATCATGTTCTGATCAATTGATCCAACCAGCAAGATTAATGCAGCTAATAAAATGTTGCAACAGATTCATTAGCAGGCTATATACTAAAAAAGGAAAACTAATCAATTAGCCATCTACCCTGCCAGTATTTATTTTTACTGTCATGTGAATGCTGGTAAGGAGCCCTGGTTACATAGCAGCTATACATTGGGCTGCTAACCACAAAGTTAGCAGTTCGAAACCACCAACCGCTCCAAGGGAGAAAAATGAAGCTCCCTACTCCTGTAAAGAATTAAAGTCTCAAAAAAATCACAGGGGCATGTCGCCCTTGTTCTATAGGCATGCCAACAACTTGATGGTAGTGAGTTTGGTTTTTGGGTGAAAGCTGGTATAACTTTAAAAATTCACTTCATAGCACTGGATTCAGGGTTAGGAGACCCAGGTCTCTTTGAGTTCTGCATTTGTCAGTAACTTACTATTTGATTTCAAGTAAATTATGTTTTCTTTCAACAGGAAAGAGAGATGATTATTTTAGGATGTTGTGATGATGTGTTTCGAATTTATAACTAGTCGTTTCAAAGTAGTTCATAAACAAAATGTCATATAAATGCAAATTTTCTTTCTTTTAATTAAGAAAAATTATATGGAAACAAATAATTTTTTTCCTTTTAAAACTATTACAGCTACAGAGATGACATCAAAAATACCACTTTGAAAACTTGGGATAGAAATGATTTTAGGCCTCAGTACCAAAAAACAAATCTGATTGCAAATGACGGAATGAATTCTTCTCCAATGAGCCTGGGAGCTCAACCGAAACAATTAAGAGTCACTGACCATCTGAAGTTATCTCACCAAAGAGAAACCGAGATTCTCCGACAACCCCATTCATCAAATGTTTCTAGCTCCACAGTGAGAGCTAAGGACAAAAATAGTGCTTTACAGGGGTTTAAGTCCAATTTTCAACAGAATCAATTTAAGGAAAAAATGATGGCTGATACTCCAGAAAAAAATACTCTCAAGGTAACACTTAAATATGAGTTAATAACTTATTTAAATATTTTAAAATGTGAAGTAAGGAACTATTGGGAAAATAAAAGAGATATGTGCATTTAAAACTAATTCCATAGCATATATTACTTGTTTAACACAGGTATCTAATTGCATTGGAGTAGAAGACTGTTTTCAAAAGATTTTCTTAGAGGGTGTGAACTGTTGCTCTCTTTTGTAATTACTATACGTTTGGATGCTAACTGCAAGTCTGAAGTTAAAAATCACCAACTCTTCCTCAGGAGAAAGACAGGTTTTCTTTACCCATAAAGAGTTACAGTTTCAGAAACTCACAAGGGCAGTTCTATCCTGTTGTATAGGGTTGCTATGAGTCAGCATCAACTTAATGGCCGTGAGTTTGGCTTTAGAGTTTCCTACCAGGTTCCAACTCGCACTATTTATTAATTATTGAGACTATGGCAGTTTAGCCATTGTTTGCAGAAAATATGAAAACTCTTCATATGGCATTCTATGTCTTTTGCAACAGGGATCAGCAAACTTTCTGTATAAGGCCACATAGAAAATCCTTCTGGCTTTGAGGCCCATACGTTCTTTGTTGTAACTACTATATATATTTTTTGAAGATGCTGTGCCCATGTAAATAAATTCCACACATATAGCAGGTAGCATAGTGAGCTTATAAAAATAATGCTGGGAAGGGCATTTATAGAGGTCTAAATACAGGCATGTACATATGTAAATATATTTATATGTGATGGGGAAATAGATCTATGTGCATATGTTTATGGGTTTAGTATTAAGGTAGCAGATGGACATTGGGCTTCCACTGAAGTACTCCTTCAATGCAAGAACACTTTGTTCTATTAAGCTGGGATTCCATGTTGCTCACCTTCCTAACACGATCACTGAAGACAAAGTGGGCGCATAAGCAAATGTGAAGAAAGCTGGTGGTGCCCAGCTTCCAAAAGATACAGTGTTTGTGGTCTTAAAGGCTTGAAGATAAACAAGCGGCCATTTAGTTCAGAAGCAACAAAGCCCACATGGAAGAAGCACACCAACCTGTGTGAGCACGAGGTGTTGATGAGATCAGGTATCAAGCATCAAAAAACAAAAACTCATATCATTGTGAATGAGGGGGAGTGCGGGGTAGGGACCCTAAGCCCATCTGTAGGCAACTGGACATCCCCTTACAGAAGGGTCGTGGGGAGGAGACAAGCCAGTTTCCTCTAGTTCTTTATTGTGTTCCCCCCCTGCCACTATGATGATCCCAATTTTATCTTACAAATCTGGCTAGACCAGAGGATGCACACTGGTACAGATAGGAACTGGAAACACAGGGAGTCCAGGACAGATAAACTCCTCAGGACCAGTTGTGAGAGTGGCGATACTGGTAGCGTGGAGGGCAGGTGTAGTAGGGGGAACTGGTCACAAGGATCTAACTATAACCCCCTCCCTGGGAGACAGACAACAGAAAAGTGGGTGAAGGGAAACGTTGGACATTGTAAGACATGACCAAATAATAATAATTTATAAATTATCAAGGTTTTGTGAGGGTGGAGAAAGAAGAGAAAAATGAGGAGTTGATACCAAGGGCTCAAGTAGAAAGAAAATGTTTTGAGAATGATGATGGCAACAAATATACAAATGTGCTTGACACAATGGTTTCTGGATTGTGATAAGAGTTGTAAGAGCCCCCAATAAAATGATTTAAATAAAAAAAATGCTGGGTTGTGTGAGTTTTCCGGATAACATATAACACGTGCATTATGTAAAAATATGGTACTCAACTACTCCACTCAACTCTGCCATAACTCAAAAGCAGAGTTTTTGATACATAATACATACACAATACATAACTGAATGGGCATGGCATGTTTAAAAAAATGTTACAAAACCGTTTGCTTTATAATCTGGTCCTAATCGCTTCTCGGCCTTTTGGCTAAGCTCAAGTGTAGTATAATCTGGTCCTATCCTAGTCTTATCTTTCTAGTCTTATCTTTCATATTTTACAACTTCTCCAGTGGTTTATACATTTCATACTCTTCACAGTTTTCTAAAAATGGCATGCACTTTAATATGTCTCTGGTTTATATTTTTCTTGATACTTACTTTACTTCCTCTCTTTGCTCACTGTTCTCATTCTTTGCAAATGTCCTTTATATATTATATGTCTTGGTTATTCTCTGTCTCTGCTTTGCCAGTTTCTGGCTCAGTAGATTCTTCACCTTCTGCCCTTACCTGTGCTCTGGGAGGCTGAATTGCCCTTCTGACTGCATGCATCATCTTGAGAACCCTGATTGGCTTCTAGTAGGGGTCATCTAGTGGAAGTCACTGGGAGGTCATCAAAAGGTGGGAGGATAGGTTGGGTTGTCTCACTCCCAGCTTGTTTTAAAGTTGTGTTTCTGGAAGTAGCTGCATTCCTTTGTCTTTTCAGCCTAGGAGTGGTAACTTCTTATAGTTGCTAATTAAGCAGATAGTGTGTTTAACCACTCTGTTCTTGTAACTCTGCTCATGTGTGTAAACAGTCTTTTCAACATTGTTAATGTTTTGTGGTGGTGTAGTGGTTACACATTGGGTTGCTAACCACAAGGTCAGCGATTGGAAACCACTAGATGTTCCCCAAAATCTAGTCCTGTAAACAGTTATTGCCTTAGAAACTTACAGAAGCAGGTCTGCCCTGTCCTATAGGGTCGCTATGAGTTGGAATCAACTCAATTGCAGTGAGTTTTTTAAAAATCATTTTATTAGGGGCTCGTACAACTCTTATCACAGTCCATCCATCCATTGTGTCAAACATATTTGTACATCTGTTGCCATCATCATTCTCAAAATATTTGTTTCTGCTTGAGCCCCTGGTATCAGCTCCTCATTTTCCCCCCTCCCTCCCTGCTCCCCCTTCCCTCATGAGCCCTTGATAATTTTTTTTGGTTTTTTTTTGAGCCCTTGATAATTTAAAAATTATTTTGTCTTATCTTACACTATACGACGTCTCCTCTCACCCACCCCTCTGCTGTCCATCCCCTAGGGAGGAGGTTATGTGTAGATGCTTGTAATCGGTTCCCCCTTTCCATCCCAGTTTTTTTTAAAGTTGATTTTTGACTCATAGTAATACCATGTGACAAGAGTAGAACTAGCCCTATATAGGGTTATAGGCCAGAATCATTATAGGAACAGATTGCTAGGTCTTTTTTTCATTGAGCTACTGGATTGGTTTGAACTTCCAACTTTTTGATTACAAAACAAGAGCCAAATTCTGGTAAATTCTGTTTTTTAACTGGGAATCTGAGTAATACAGCATATTTCATAGTGGTTCTCAACATTATGCTTTCAGCAGCAACGGTTCTTTATTCTCAGTGGAGGCATATTAGAATCTTGGGCAGGAGAAGGAAGGGAAAGTATTTGTACTTTGAAAACAATGTTCCACGAGATACTTTTTGCTATGTTCTCTCACCTCATAAAGCAGCACCCATGCCTTGAAAACCAGTACCTTGATGACACATGTGCTTTTCCCAACTGACCTCCAGAAATATGAATGATATCTGGGGCCTTTACTTTGTTGTTCCCTTTGTTCTCACACAACGACTCATTTAAAACAGTACCCTATCTTTCTCTAACTCTTTAGTCTGTCTCCATGATCAGAACTGACTCAATGGCAGTGTTTTTTTTTTTTTAATGAATTGAATATACTATTTCCTGATATTATGTGTATTTATTTATTTTCTGAATTTCCCCATTAGGCTTAAAGTTTATAAAGAGTTGCTACTTTGTTTTGCTTACTGTTTTCCTCAGTCTGATACATAGCAGGTGATCAAGAGTCATTTTCATGTTATTAATTTTTATAATATCTTAGACTTAATGAATAAATGGTCTGGCTACCTTAGAGTGTAAGAACATTAAGGGAAGGAATTGTGTTTAACTCTGTGTTTATCACAGATTCGGACCCATGATGCATTAAAAATAGTTAATGAACAAATGAATGAATGAATGTTCATAAAAGTAATTCTCTTCTTGATTAATTACCTCCCAACTGCACCTGTTTTCTTCTCCTGTAACATAATGATGCATTTAATTTAAGGAAGTAATTGCTAAAAGTTTTCAGAATTCTCTATGCACATCTGCCCATTTCCTAGGGTAGAAGAACCTATATTGAGAATCTATATATAGAATGTAAATGTGTATGATGAAAAAAATAAAGAATAAATGCAATGTTTGGTTTTTCCTCAAAAGGAAACTTCATCATATCAATTAAAACTTAAGGAAAAAGATAACTCTTTAAGAATTATATCTGTGGTCATTGAAAGCATGAAGTACTGGCGTGAACATGCACAGAAAGCTATACTTCTTTTTGAAATGTTGGGTAAGTAAAATACAGTCATGTGCTACATAATATATGGGCAATGTCCAACCATATATATTCCCATGCTCCCAACCCCTGTAAAGTCCATTATATTCAAAATTCAATCTATATACAATGGTTTGCAATAATACATGGGTGCTACTTTTTGATGCTCATGAAAACATTATTATCGCTATATTATTATTTTTAAGATGTCTTAGTGCAACTGAAAAGTTATTTTTTATATGTATAAAAAGGTATATTACATACTATAAACTAAGAATACCATTTGACTAATTACCTGAAAATTATATCCTGAGGATTTCAGTTTGCATGCACATTCTACATAAAGGCAGACTTAACAAAATGTGTTAGTTATCCAGTGATTGCTTCTATATAAGAAAGATGGGGCTTTCTACTCCCGTAAACAATTATTACCCTGGAAACCCACGGGCGGTATCATGCTGTCCTGTAGGGTGGCTTTGAGTCGGAAGTGACTCAATAGCAGTGAGTTTGGTTCTGGTTTTCGTTGGTGGTAGTGGTAGTACTTGGACTGCTAACCACAGCTCAGTAGTTTACACCCACCTAACTGCTCCTTGAAAGAAAGACAGAGCTTTTTCTCTCATAAAGAGGAGCTGATACCAATGGCTCAATAGAAAGTAAATGTCTAGAAAAGAATGATGGCAATGTATGTACAAATATGCCTGATACAATTGATGTATGGATTGTAATAAGAGTTGTAAGAGCCCTCAATAAAATGATATTTTAATTAAAAAAAAAGATTTACAGCTTCAGAAACCCAAAGGGACAGTTCTATTCTGTTCTGTAGGGTTGCTTTGAGTCCAAATTGACTCTATGGCAGTGAGTTTGGTTTGGGTTTGCCTGCACATAGTATGGTGCTTGCACAATATCTAAATTACGTCTTACTTCACAGAACATATTGTGGACATTAAGTGATGCATGAGACTGTACTTCAAAAATACTTCAACAATGCTATTAATACTATTTGAGCAGCAACTGGTGTACTTCCTACCCATTGCTATCTAGTTGATTTCAACTCATAGCAACCATGCAGGGCAGAGTGAAACTGCTCCATAGTGTTTTCAAGGTTGTACATTTTTACGGAAGCCACTTTCTCCTTTAGAGCAGCTGGAAGGTTTGAACTGTTGATCTTTGGGTTAGTAGTTGAGCCACTGTGCCACCAGGGTTCTTAATAGGTGTACTTAAGGGAATTTTAAAGAAAAAGAGGAGGCTGCTAACTGGAACTTCCAACAGCTAGAAACCACCAGCTGCTCTTCGGTAGAAAGATAGGCTTTCAACTCCCATAAACAGTTATATTTTCAGAAACCCACCGTGGCAGTTCTACCCTGTCTCGAAGGGTCATTGTGAGTCAGAATTGACTCCATGGCAGAGAATTTTTTTGTTTTGCGTGGCATAGTGGTTACACATTGTGCTGTTAACTGAAAGGTCAGCAGTTCAAAACTACCAGCTACTCTGTGGGGGAAAAATTAGACTTTCTACTCCCATAAAAAGCTAAAGTCTTGGGAACCCACAGGGGCAATCCTACCGTGGTATGACTTGGAATGGACTCCAAAGCAGTGAGTGGAGAAAAAGAAACTTTTTGCAGAAGGAATTACTAAGATTTTTTAGTTACTTGGTTTGTCTTTTGTTTTATGTGAACTAAGGCAAAGGGTTTTTTTTCTTCTTACATCCATCTTGTTCTGATTAACAATGTTAAAAGTTGAAAGAATCCTACAAAAAAATCTAATCCAACTGTTTCAAGTAGGCCAGGAAATGGAACAGTTAATTAAAATAGACTTGACTATAGAGCTAGTTAGCTGCACAAATGAATCTGTGATCCAAGTCTCACAATTATCAATCTATTATTCTTTTTACTCTGTTATAATAAATTGAACTGTCTTACATCTCATTTGATAAGAATTACTCAACATAAGTATGCATTACTATTTGCATTTGATAGATGAAGATATAGATTTGAAAGAAGTGAAACAGTCATAAACTATCAATAAATTGGATATCTAAGACCCAAAGCATGACTTCTGATTCAATTGAATGTTTTTATTCCCATTAAACCTTGATACTTATTCTAAATATGTATTTATTTTTATAAAGAGCCCTAGTAGCGCTGTTGAGCAAAGCTTTGAATTGCTAACTGCAAGGTTGGCAGCTCAACTACACCAGCTGCTGTGAGAGAAAGATGAGGCTACCTGCTCCCATAAAGATTTACAGTGAGGATAAACTCTATGGCAGCAGGTCTTGGTATTTATTATTATTATGTAGACTGGCCCAGGGTTAACTACTCTATATAACATTTTCTAAGGAATAAGATGACCCATTATTGTCAATTGTATGAATTTTGGTACATAACCTCCTTCTATGTTGGACAGGGCCAGAAACTTTGTTTTCTTTAAAAATTAAAAAAAAAATTAAAATCATTTAATTAGGGGCAATCCATACATACATCAATTGTGTAAAGCACGTTTGTTCATTCATTGCCCTCATTCTCAAAACATTTGCTCTCCACCTAAGCCCCTGGCATCAGGTCCTCATTTCCACCCCTTTCCCCCCTCCCTCATGAACCTTTGATAATTTATAAATTATTGTTTTGTCATATCTTGCTCTGTCCGATGTCTCCCTTCACCCACTTTTCTGTTTTCTGTCCCCCAGGGAGGAGGTCACATGTAGGTCTTTGTAATCGGTTCCCCCATTCCAATCCACCGGCCTCTACCCTCCCAGTATCGCCACTCACACCACTGGTCCTTAAGGGATCATCCACCCTGGATTCCCTGTGTTTCCAGTTCCTATCGGTACCAGTGTACATCCTCTGGTCTAGCCAGACTTGCAAGATAGAATTGGGATCATGATAGTGGGGGTGGGGAGGGGAGGAAGCATTTAGGAACTAGAGGAAAGTTGTATTTTTCATCGTTGCTACATCGTACCCTGACTGGCTCGTCTCCTCCCCAAGACCCTTCTGTAAGGGGATGTCCAGTGGCCTACAAATGGGCTTTGGGTCTCCACTCTGCACTCCCCCCCTCATTCACTATGGTAAGATCAGAAACTTTGTTTTCTTTACTATTCCAGTTTCAGAAGTATTTTCCTTAGTAAAATAAATACTTTATTACTGTATAAATATAATTATGGATACGTTTCCATGACAATAGTTATTTTAAATATCAACCTCTTTTTCTTAGATTTTATTGGAACTTTAGAGCATTTATTTTTCCCCCCTCTATGTTTTATTTTTTTTAGGTGTTCTTGACTCAGCTGTTATTCCTGGCCCATATTCTTCAAAGACTTTTCTTCTGAGAGATGGGAAAAATACTCTGCCTTGTGTGTTTTATGAAATAGTGAGTATTTGTTTAAGTAATCTTTGCAAAGACTATACCAATAAAATATACATGTGCAGGCTATAAATCTACTACAATGAAAGTTCTGTTAACAGTTTAATAGTAGTTTCAACATTTTGTTTGGCTTTACTTGGACATTAAAGTTTCTTTATTAATTTGACTGAAGTTGAACATATATTATACAATATATATACAGCAGATTCCTAGGAATAGATCACTATTTCACTCAGAGTTTTTAGTCTCAAGTAGGAAGACCAGATAAACAAACCTTGCACAGTAATATGATAAATGGTATGATAGAAGTATGTGCAGTGTACTTAGATATAGATAAGAAGGATGGGGCTGAGACAGGTTGTAACCTACCTTATCTTAGATCTTTAGGATGAATAAGAGTTAACTAAGCCAGAGGGTAATGGGGGAGGGAAAGAGTGGGAAGGAATGCATTTTAAACGGAGGGAGTATCATATGCCAAAATCCTGAGCTAAGCAAGAACTTAACTTTGGTCCAAGTAGTTTCTGATCACCTGAATGTAGAGTGGTGGGGAGGTGGGGTACAATAGTCCTGGTTCTGGGTCTGAGGCACGGCAGAGAGTGCCCTGGGGTATAGGAACAGCACTGGTGACAGAAAAGACTGGGGAAACACAAGAAACTGGAGATCACTAAAAGGACTGCATAAAACATAATTTTTAGAGTTTAGCCTTAATTCTGCCCTTTCAGCAATAGTCAGTCTTAGATTCCAGTTCTTAATATGCCATGCTAGCTTTATGACTTTAGACAAGCTACTTAATTTCTTGAGCTTTAGTTTCTTTATTTGTAAAATGGGAAAACTAATTCTTAGTTTGAAAGTAGGGCTGTTATGGAGATTAAATGATAAGACAGGTATATAGATTATCATGAAATAGTAATTATGTTATTAATTTTTATAATACCTTGAATGTTTCTCATTTTCTCTGGTTTGATTCGACTTTTTAAAAACTTTTCTCATATAGAACAATGCATAGATCATAACTATTCACCTCTTTGATGTATCACAAAGTGAGCACTACTCAGGTTAAGTAGAAGATTGCCACCAAACCAGAAACCCCCATATGCCCCCTTTCTCCTTCTGTCTTTCACCTCAAAGCAACCACTATCCTTAATTTTAATGTCATAACTTACTTTAGCCAGTTTTGAACTTTACATAAACAGTATCTTATGGTATGTTTTTTCCTGTCTTAATTCTTTTAGTTTGCATAATGCTTATAAAATTCATCTAGGTCATTTCATGTAGTTACCATGCATTCATTCTTATTGCTATGCATAGTATTAAGTTATATGAATATATACCAATTTAGTTATCTAGCCTATTATTGTTGAGTATGTTAGTTGTTTTCAGGGTTTTTCTTATTATAGATAATTCTCTTATCAGCATTCTTGTATGTGTCTCTTTATCTTGTGCATGTGTATGCAGTTCTGTTGAGTACATATGCAGATGTAAAATTGCCAGGTCATAGTGCACACATATATTCTAATATAGTAGTTATTGCCAAATAATTTTCCCAGGAATTGAATCAGTTTATAGCCACAAGCCATGTAAGAAAGTTGTAGTTTCTCCACATTCTTGCCAAACACTTAGTATTGTCAGTCTTACAGTTAAAAATGTTTTACCACCACATTCTTGTGGGTAAGAGCATTTTTAAAATATGTGTTCTGGCTATTTGAGGTTGAGAACTTATCCATTTCTTTATTGATCACTTAGTTTTTTTCTTTTGTAAAGCATCTTATTCATTTCATTTTTCTATTTTTTTCTTTTAAAAATGAGTTAAAGGAGTGCTAAAAGAAGCCAGTCTGGATATGAGCTCCACATCATTACATATTACATATTATTTTTTCATAGTCCACAATTTGCGTTTTCACTCTTAGTGGTGTATTTTCTTTCTTTTTAGTTTCTATTGAGGTGAAAAGACAACATTCACTAAATCAATAACTACTACATGTATAATTTGGTGACTGTTTACATTCTTCATGTTGAACACCTATTATTGCTATTCTTTCCCTAATCATTTCTCCATCATTAATATAAACCCAGTACCCTCTAAACAAAAATTTTCCATCCCCTCTCTTGCTTATAACCTCTACTAATAGTTGCTTTTTTATATATTTAGGAAGGAACCCTAGTGGTATAGTGGTTGTGAGTTAGGCTGCAATCCAAAAGGTCAGCAGTTCCAAACTGCCAGTTGCTCCTGGGTTGTGTACTTCCATAAAGAGTTACAGTTTTGGAAATACACAGGGGAAGTTCTACCACATCCTATAGAGCCACTCTGAGTCAGCATTGACTTGATGGCAGTGAGTTTTTGGTTCCCTATATTTGCTTATATCATTTAAGTGAGGTCATTACAGTATTTATTTTTTGACCGTGGACTGAATTTGCTCATCTCTGCTGTGGCATATATTAGGACTTCATTTCTTTTTATGGTGGAATAATACTCCATTGTATATATACACCACATTTTGTTTCCTCATTCATCTGTTTATGGACATTTCAGGTGTTTCCACATTTTCCTTATTGTACAAAATGAAAGAACCTCCCTGTTTTCACTTTTTGGATTATATACCTAAGGTTGGGATTGCTGAGTCACATGGTGATTCTATCAACTTTTTGGGGAACCACAGATTTGTTTTCTGTGGTGGTTGTACCATTGTTTCCATTGTTTTCATCATTGCCATTCTAATGGGTGTGCTTCATTTTGGTTTTGTGTTCTATCTTTTTAATGGTGAATGAAGGATTCCTGGTGGCATGGTGGGTTAAAGGCTAGGCTGTTAATGGAAAAGTCAAAGCTTGAAGATTTTGCTTTCTCTAGCTCAAGAGTTTGTTAAAAGCTCTGCTTTTTAAAGCTCAGCTTTATAAACTCTGCTTACCCTCAAATATTAAGTCTTCTCTTAGACGTTCATCCTTTCCGAGCTCCTTTCCTTCATAGTCTCTCACTGCTTTTGTATCTGATGCCTGCTCAGAGACCTGTTGAACAATGTATTTCAACCAGCTATTTTAGTTTTCTGCTGAGAAATTGGTCGAACGATCTATTCTTCCATCTACTAATAGTGTAATTCTGGTTGCTTTTGAGCAGATCATTCACGTGTCATTACATTGGAGATGATTCAGTGTTTTCAGAAGCAGCAGCTAACTAGCTTAGAAGAAGCCTTAACCAAATGAGCCCTAGTCTCTGTGGCAGTATTTCTGGCTATTTCTAGTCTTGTTAGCAGTAGAACCCTGGCTCATACAAGGGAATTGCAGCATTATGGAATAATTCACTTCTGATTGATCAGATTATTTAAAAAAATTAAAATGAAGATAAAGTAAATAACTTTTAATTATTTATTTATTTTTAATAAACAGGATCGTGAACTTCCAAGACTGATTAGAGGCCGAGTTCATAGGTGTGTGGGAAACTATGACCAGAAAAAGAACATTTTCAAATGTGTTTCTGTCAGACCGGCATCTATCGCTGAACAAAAAACTTTCCAAGAATTTGTTAAAATTGTAGATGCTGAGATGAGGTATTATATTAACGTAATGAATGAGATTTAAATAATGATGATGGAAGTTGAAATAGAATAAGTTAAAGCATTTACTTTTATTATTGCTTGAATTATACTCTCCAAGGCTTTATAGTTACTAATCTCTGTATTTTACTTGTTGAATTAAACTATTTCAATCCCTTTAAATGTGGAAAGTTTTTGAAAAGTAATTTTATTGCTTTATAAAAATGATGTATTTTCTAAAATCCAATGATTTCAGATAAACACATTCAATAAAGTAGGTATAGATAAGTCTACACCTTCCTCAGCCCAATAGCCAGCATCAAGCTTAATGGAGAAACACTAGATGCATTCCTAGAGAACTCAAGAATAGAACAAGGGTTTCTACTATCAAGGGCTGTTATTAAACATTGTACTAAGCTTTTAGTTCTATGGAATTATCTTAAAATATTTAATGAATATCTACTCTGTGCCAAGCACTGGTTCTTTCAAATACTGAAACAAAGCATTTGTTAAGGTAGCAAAATATATGCATTTCTGGAATTTATTTTCTGGGACCCAGAAAATTCATTAGACAAAAGACAAAAATTTGAGTATAATAATTATTACTAATTGCAGAAGATATAACTCAATATATGGAAACCTTAGCAACTCAACTGAGACACAAACATGAGATTATTTGGTAAAGAGATAGAGTAGAAAACTTAGTAAGTCCAAATAATCAGTAGATATTATTTACATATCACCTACCATAATTTTCATGTATAATAGATAAAAATACCATTTAAAATAGAAAAACGCATCTAAGACTTAACCAAGATTAAGTAATGTATGTGGAAAATATATGAATAAACTTTAAAATACTGCTGTAGGATATAGACTTGTACTAATGGAACTATGCTTCATTTTCTTGGATAAGAAGACTCAACACAGAGATGCCGATTTTCCCCAAAGAAACTTTAAATAAGATTAATTTCTAACTATGTTTATAGTTATTTCTCTCTTTGTGTGTGTGAGAGTATGTATGTAACATACTAAAATCTATACAAAAATAAATAAGAAAAGTCAGGAAAACTCTGGTATAGAACAACAACAGAAAGAGAAGATAGTCTTCTTAGATATTATAATACTTTAAACATCACATGAATTCCCTTTTGCTACATAATCAATTTCTCCAAAACTTCACGGTTTGAAAAACAAACATTACCTCTCATAGTTTAAGTTAATCAAATTTTCAGGAGCATCAGCTCTGGCTTTAGGGCCTCTTAAGAAGATCAATTTCCAGGGTGATTCATTGACATGACTGAATAGTTGGTGCTGGCTATTAGTAAATGGCCTCAGTTTTTCTCCTTGTGGGTCTCTCCCTAGGGTTATTTGACTGTACTTCCAACATGTCAGTTGGCTTCCTCCAGAGTAAGTAATCCAATGGTGACTTAATCAGGTGGAAATTGTCCGTTTTCTGATGTGCCCTGTTAGCATCATTCCTACAACATTTTATTCAGTAAAAGTGAACCTCTAAGTCAGGCTCATATTTAGAGGGGGACTAATAGACTCCATCATTTGAAGGAAAGAGTGCCAAAGAATTTAGCACTCTGTGTAGACACATTTTAAACCAACAACACATAAAGGCATATTTATTCATGCACTAAATAATCCTGGTTTATGAATAGAAAGACCAATTTAAGTATAAAAACAGACTCAAGGACATAAAAAACTAAATGTATGATAATAATACTATCTCAGAAGTGTGGGAGAAGATATCGACTATTTAAGGAAATGGTGTTGGGACCACTAGTAAGCATCTGGGGGGAAAAAACCAAATGTTACACTAAGATTTTACCTATTATTCTTTTGTAAACTTTGTATATTCAGTTTTTTTATTGATTTGGAATTTATTTTTGGGTAGGATGAGAGGTGTTAAAATTTAACTTTGCTTTTGTTACTCAGAAATAATTAGGTGGCTAATTATTTTAACTCCATCTCTTGAATTCTTAGAAATACCATTTTCCCCATAACATAAAAAATACAAACATGGGACTGATTTTGCACTATTCTCCATATTTTTCTAATCATTCTGCTATTCTGTTAAGGGTTTTGTTTTGTTTCAAATTCTGTCCTTTCAAAACAGTTTTATTGGCATATAATTCATGTCTGATACAAGTCAATAGTTTAATCATATTAAGAAGAGTTGTACAGTCATCACCACAGTCAATTTTAGAACATGTTCTTCTTTCTTGTACTCTTTATTAGGTCCCCATTTTTCTATCTTAAGGGATCTCTTCATGAGAGCGAACATCAAGCAGGGCCATGCCATAGAGCTAATTGCTCTTAGATTAGGGTTACAGTTAAGTACAAGCCCAAATTTCTTTTATGTTTATCTGGTTTGTGTATGTCTCTGGTTCACCGTAGAGACATTGTCATTTTATGTTAGAGAATATTATCAATCATCCTCATGGAGCATAAGGTAATTCTATTGATAGTGTCATCTATATTGCCAATTGTACAGAATTTAAAACACTGTTGAGAAAAGGGAATTATATAAGTACAATCAGGCTATGAACTACATTACATAAGTTGTTGACTTGCACAGTTTAAACTCTTAAGTGATGACGACACTATTTACACAAACAATGGGAGTTGGTGATAGGGAAAAACTTTCAATAATATTCACAACAACAGAACCACACCTACCAGATTAATACATGTCATGAGAAACCAAGGATATTATTAAAATAGCTTGTGGTAGACCTGGGACACCATTCATGGGGCACCTTTAAGGCAAGAGATCCAAACCAAAGTTCCTGTTGGCATTTTTATTGGGATTGTATACATTTTATAAATTAATTTGAAGAGCATGGACATAATTATAATAGAGAATCTTCCTACTAAGAAATATAGCATGCCTGTGTATTTAGGTGTTTAAAAAATTCTTTCAGTAAAGTTTGGTAGATTTATCTATAAAGATCTTCCACAGTTTTTAAACCACTGTTGAAGAAAAGATATTAAATTTGCATAGCTATTCATTTATGGTACATCTGTGCAGTGCTTCTAGAAGCTATATGATATAGGTAACATATAAAAGTCACAAGAAGGATTGTTTTATTTTATCATATTTTTAGGAATTTATTTTAGGGTAATAAATTCCAAAGTAAGGAAAAGATTGTATATTTGATGGCATTATTTTCAGCGTTACTTGTAATAGCAAAATTTGGATTCAATCGAATCATTCTCCATTAGGAGGTGATGATGTAATACATTTTCATACATTTTTAGTGTTGTTAGGGGCCATTGAGTTGGTTTGTAGTCTTAGCAATCCTATGTACAACAGAATGAGACACTGTGTCAGGTCTTGCATCATCCTCACAATTGTGATGTTTGCGCCCATTGTTGCAGCATCTGTGTCGATCCATTTCATTGACAGTCTTTCTCCTCTATGTTGACCCTGTATTTTACCAAGGATGTTGCCATTTTCCAGTGACTAATCTCTCCTGATCACATGTGAAAAGTACTTGAGACAAAGTCTTGCCATCCTTGCTACACAGGAGCATTATGGCTATACTACTTTGAAGACAAATTTGTTTGCTCTTTGGCAGCTCATGGTACTTTCCATAATCTTCCCCAGAATCATAATTCAAATGCATGTATCCATCAGCTCCCATCACATTTGTTTAAGACTTGGTTCATGTGGCATGAATTCCTCTCTCTACTTTTCATGTGTATGTTTAAGTACTGAACAGGTTTCTCATGCTGTTCTACTCTCTGGAGTAATGGAAATACTTATGGAAAAACATAACAAGCAGGTGAAGTGGACATGAGGTAATGCTGCCAGGTGAAGTTAGCTGGAGCCTGTGCAGAAATGATTACAACAGTTTTGTCTGTATTAAGAGATGATGGTTGAAATAATCTGAAGTATCATGCAAGATATATAGACAGTAGTTTCCACAAGAGGAATGCTTCTACTAGGAATACGTCAGTGGCTCCAAAGAATTGGAAATTGAGACTGCCACTTTTTTACATCAGTCATGTCACTGAAAAAATAGGCAAAAAAGCGGGATTACTATACTGTATGGGAATCAAATTAACAATGGGAAATTAGGTTTCCCCAAAAAAGTGAGGAAAGGGAGAACCATACCTGATATTTAAGAAATTATTTGGCATTACTGCTAACACTTTAGTGTCAAATAGTAAAAGTTAAAATAAGAAATATAAAGGGCACCTGGCATACATAGAGAGTAGGAAGTGTGGTGGTGGGATAGCACTTTTTCAGCTTATCAAACCATAGTGTGGTGGTTTGTGTATTGCTGTGATGCTGGAAGCTTTGCCAATAGTATTTCAAATACTAGCAGGTTCACTCACCTATGGTGAACAGGTTTCAGAGGAACTTCCAGACTAGGAACAGACTATGAAGAAGGGGTTGATTGTCCATTTTAGAGAGAAATTGAAATAGAAGGCATACAGATCACTACGCTAGGCATTAATGTGCAGAAATGGACTGGTATTGGCCATTGTGAATTGGATAATCATGTGGTTTACTATGTTGAGAAAAAATTCAAAAGGAATGGTGTCGTATTCATCATAAAGAGAGCATATCAGGGAAAATTCTATCTCTAATAAAATATCTGTACTTCTGTAAGGAAAACCAGTGAATACAACTATTGTTCAAATTTATACACTGACCACTAAAACCAATGATGAAGAAATTGAAAATTCCACTAACTTCTTCAATCTGGAAATGATGAACCATGCAATCAAGATGTATTTATAAATACTGGTGATTGAAATGTGAAAATTGGAAACAAAGGAAGGGTCAATAGTTGGAACATGGAACCCAGGTGATAAAAACGAAGTTGGAGATAACAATAGAAATGTGCAAGACTAATGATTTCTTTCACATCAACATAAATGGTGGTTATACACATAGTATCTCATCAGGTGGTATACCTGGGGATCAAATTGACTACCTCTGTGGAAGAGATAGGAGCCTTGGTGGCATAGTGAATGAGGTGTTGGGCAGCTAAATATAAGGTTTGTGGTTATTAGCCCTTCTGTGGGAGAAAATTGAGACTGTTTCATCTCATAATGATTTACAGTCCCAGAGCAGAGCAGTTCTACTC